GAGGCTGGCTCTGTTGATGAGATGACATGTTCTTTGTTTGTGTGGGGCGGGTGAGGAGGAAAGTGGTGGGGGGGGGGGGGGGGGGGGGGGCGGTGTCCAAAAAAATTTTTTTCGTCCCTTCGGGCCTCAGTTTGGCTCCCGGGCCCCTCCCTTGGATCCGCCTTTGCTCAGTTTTCTAGACTGTTCTCTCTTTCAGTGCTCAAGATGGCTTTTCGATTAAGGGGCTAATTCGAATCTATAAACCATTAGAGCAGTCTCTTTAAGTTCAAACATAAAAGCATTTAATGCTTAATTATTGATTTTGTAAGAAAGTACAAAGTTTATAAACCTTTGATTAGAAGAAAAAAAACATTGCAACTACCGTGTCACTTGTGCATTTTCAATACATTACAAATACACTCAGTTTTAAAAAATTTCTTACAAAGTTTGCTAACATATATAGATTCCACTACGCTAGTCAATTGAAGAAGTATTTCATTTTTAGTTTTATTTTCTATTCGGCTTTTTTTGAAAAAGCTTTATTACCGATAGACCGTCCCCGCATTCAGAGAACAATGAAACTAACTCGAGACTTGGGAAGACAAAATACAGTGATTAGACCACACAGGTAAACCTCGTTTCATACGAGGGATTTTTAAGGTTCTTTACCTTTTAAATGGGCAAACCGATCGGTTTACAGTTTGGGCAAATGGTAAGCAAAATTCAGGTCTGGTAAATTTCGTCCCGGAATTACGCGTTTACCATTTGTACAAACCAGTTCAATTTGCCGACAAACAGCCGCGAGAACCGGAAACTGGTATGGAACATGCCGATGGGAAACTACCTTTTCAGAACTTCCTTTGCTCCCGAAAATTTTCCGTTCCGGAAATTTTTCACTGGAACAACCTGAAAGTCGTGTTCACTTACTTTCCAACCGGATTTTCCGGAAACTTTTTGAAAAGTATGGCAAACAACTTTAGTAGCACGTTTAACGTTTACGGCAAACGTCAAATTCAATAAAGTTTTCCCTTTAGTTGTCATCTACTGTTAATGATATCTAGAAAAAAATAAGTAAATTGATGTCGGCTTTATGCAAAAAATTATTTTGGACAGTTATACCTTCTCATCTTCTACTTTGAGGAATAGCAAACTTTAATCTGGCCTTTACCGCTTGCCGTACATCTTTCTATTGTGTACGCTCAATCGGGAGAAATACGGGAAAGGTCTTTGCATACCATAGAATTGTAAAATAACCAAACCGTAACTATAAGCATTTTTATAGATATTTTTCCTAAAAAATACAAAACGTTATTTCAAACAAGAAATTCACGCATTTGGGCGTTTGTATTTAAAGTATGATTGGATGCATACCAGTCAAGTCGCTTTCGTGTGAAATCGCCTACTGCTTTAGTTAACTTGTGTGCGTATGACCTTATGCTTAGAAAGTGCATCTCGGAAAGTCCAACTAACGCAGTTCGTTAGATTTAAACACCACTTGCCAAAGAAGTAGGCGAGTTCACACCTGGGTGAATTTTACCGTAATTAGTTCATAAGACTTACGGAAAC